GCAGACATATTTTTTTAAAGCAAATTAATTATAGTACCATGGTTATCTTTATCTTATTGAAATGTACCATAAAATATTTTGTTTAGGTTCTATTTAATGGAAGTAATTCATTTATTGTCCCATTATATAGGTTGCTGAGTTTCCTATCTACTCTAGAATATGATATATTGTACATTACAGTAGCCAATATACTGTTATAATTATGCCAGACATAAACTAATGGTCTGTCCAGATTTAAAAATTTTCTTTGACAAAAACTGTTGTATCCCCATCCCAGATATAGTCATGATGTGCCTATATATGGTAATGAAGTGATGTAATCATGACCATATTTAGGCATGTCACATGTTTTTGTCAAATAAAATTTGTTTTTTCCAGACCCAATAATGTTTGGCCAGATTTTTTTCCGATTTTGTTTATGATCAATTTAGATACTAGGCATACACAGGCGGACTGAAAGTTTGGGGTTGGGGAAAGCTGGCCCAGGACCCGAAGTTTTAAAAATTTAGGAGAATGGGGGGAAAAAGTGAAAATTATTAAAAGTTAAGTCTGAGAGTGCCATTTCTGGCTATTTAGAGGTGTAATATTATAATCATTTAAATAATCTTTTTATCTAAATTATAACTTTTGATGAGAAAAGCCAATTTATTATCATAGTCCTTGGATTTTGTGGCAATCACTAGAAGGCAGCTTCATGTTCATTTTAGTTTTCTTTTTTTCTGAAATTAATTTGAATTGAATTGAACAGTGCCATTGACCCAGTACAGATGTATGGTAATTTTTCAAACCATAAACTTTTCATTGTATTGGTACAAAGTCTACGCTATTATATTGTTTAAGCCCTATTCCTTTCAATCTTTACTTAGTGCTATACAAATAAACCACAGCAAGTACTGGAACCTACAAGGAATTCCAATTGATTTGAGCTAAGCTGTGTAAATATGTTTTTGCACTGCAAATTCCAATATTTTAGTTGGTTGATACAAGAAAAAGAAATTGTCAATCAGTTAATAGCTACATGTTTGTATATGACATGCAATTTCGTTATTTGCTTTGTTTCTCCCCAAATTTTTGTTCATGTAAGGGCCTTTTTATGACTTGCTGAGTCATATATCTTTTATTTCCAATGCTTGATGTTTTCTGTAGGAAACAAGCATAATAATAGAATCAACCAGCTACTGTAATATTCAATTATGTACATAATTAACATTGACGGATCAATCAAAACTCCTACCATAAAAAATGCTATTCCTTACAAAATATTCTCTAAATTGTTCAGACACACTTTGTATGAATTTTCAATAAGTACAGATTAGATTTAGAATAAGTACAGATAAGATTTTTCCTTTATTTGCCTTTTATTTGTTCTATTGTATTTGTTCGTTAGCATATAAAAAAGCCTTGGTACTGTAGTATGCATTATATCAACTACAACTATAATTATTAGTCTTTTAAATAGACTCAACAACTGTAACACTTAAAAATTCAAACGGCAAAATCATATTGAAAGAATTCACACAGATGCTATCTTGATAAATTCCAAACTAGGAAGATTTACAACTTGTGCCAAAAAGTCCACAGTTTAATTTGTTCATTATTCAATTGTTATCAAAATTATATAGACTAGAAAAATCTAGTCACTTCACTGATTATTAAAGTCCAAAATAAAATCATTACTGAGAGCTATTATTATATAAAAATATTCACCTAAAAAGTGTAGTAAACAGTGTCATACTTTAATGATCATTGCAAAGAAAGACCAAAATCTTTATTGAAATCAATTTTAGAAAAAAAGAAGTTCCAAGCCTACAGCTACTCTAGGAGGGTTTGATGGTTCTAAGAAACCCCCCCCCCCCACATTTTTAACTATTAAACTAAAAAGTACCATTTGCATGGAAGTTGTTAAAATTAACTCCAAATACATCAAAGTTTGGCATTTTTATAGCCATTTCCAGACATCTGGAGGTGAACATTTTTAAAATTTACACAAAACATGGTAGGCTGTCAATGAGGTGGGTATGTGCCCTTTTGTGAAAAATTAAACCTCCCTTTAGAAATCTAATTTAGACTTGGGTGCTCTCCAAACATCTGAACCAGAACATACTACAGTTCAGTAAATGCATTGACTGCCTATGACAAGATACAGTATAATACCACAGACCTAATCTGACAAATACCATTTTTTACACTATTGTGTTATATACTGTAGAAAAATTATTAAGTAGACTAGAGGAATCAAAGCACATCTCCCATGATAGTCAACATGTCAATATCCTCTGAATGATACTGTATTTCTATAAAAAGTAATTTTAATAGCAAACATTAATTTACTTTTTAATCCACAACGATTAAACACATGGCCAAGCTTTGAAGATACTGTACAGATTTACAAGTTAAAAATGAACAGTAAGAAACAGAATATACTACAGGCCTTCTGTATTTATATCTCAAATGGTTGCTACAGTAGCACACTTTTGTACTACCCATTAATAATTGTGGCTCCCCATGTCAGACTAATGAAATCCTAAATGCTAAAAAGGAGAGGAAATAATACACACTCAATAATAACTCAAACACAGCTACAGTTTCCTATTAGCATTCTAAAACATCCTGAAAACCCCAATTGTAATTTTAACACTAAACAGCATAATGCTTGTTGCAAACCAGACAGTAAGTTATTAACTTGGTTTATGAAGTATACCGTAAAACCTCGAATTAAAGCCCAGTGGGCTTAATCTCGAGGTGAAGCCCATCTTGAATTGAAGCCCTGCTTTTAGTTTGCAAAAGTAGCCTCGAGAAGATAGCATAGCCTTTTTTTTTTTTTTGAGATAGTACAGTATAAACACTGTACATGAATTTCAGAAAACAAAATAAATTAAAAACAGGTTTGGTTTATACAGTAGTTTAGGTGATTTAATGGCATTTAAATACACTTCATGATATAAATTGATGTTACAGTGGCCTTATTTATTGTTTTACAGTACAAATTCACAAATTTACAGCATTCATTTTGAAAAGAAGCCCCTCTATTTACTTTGCAAAAGTTGCCTCGAAATAAGGCCATCTTGAAAAGAAGCCCATCCAAAGTTCGCAAAAAACAAGAAGCCAAGGGGCGGATTGCTATAAAACGGTCTTAACTGGTAGTCTTAACTCCTCAAATAAAGCCGGCTTTATCACTTAGACAGTCTTACTAAAGTCATTCCTCTAAGACCATTGCTATAAAATAGTCTTCTTTAAGACCACTTTGAGTATTGAAATGCAAACAAGCACTCCCTGGTAACGTAAGATTGAAGATGACGTCATGCGTGCGCGAGCACACAAATGTATCAAAATGAACATAAACAAACGCCGTAGACCTATTTTTACAGACGCTGAGAAGTGTGCGGAGTATTCGATTCTCCGACTTTGACGATCTAGGCCTAGGTCTTGCCATTGCACTGTTGAATTAATCAGCAGAACGCCATGATGAAAATGATTTAAGACCGTTTTAAGCCTCCTCCGAACAGGCTTTAAAATTCAAGACGGCTAACTGGTTAGACCACGGTATAGCAATGGTCTATTATCATAGACCGGTAGTGACGTCATGATTATAGCCGGCTAACTGTTAAGACCATCTAAAGACCGCTTATAGCAATCCGCCCCAGGGCTTCAATTTTACAGTAGGTCAAAAACAGCACTATGTATTCTCATTTCATTTTATTGTGACAATGAGTAATGAATGCCATAATAATACTTAAAAACACATTCTTTCATAACAGTACCTCCCTATCTGAAAACTTCTGAATGATAAATTCACAATGGTCACTGCTAAATTCACAATAGCCAAGTTCACAATTTCTAAAGTTCACTATTGACCTTGAAGCTCACAATTGGTAAATTGCCATTTATTGCGAAAGCTAGATTCACAACTGTTTCAACATATCTCATTTGATTACAATTGATAGCTGATCCCTACATATTTACTGTACCAGTAGTGTCAAATTTCCAAATGCTATGAACAATGTCCTTAAAAATTGGATGGCAAAGTATACTGCATTGTTTAGTACTTCCTTGATTCAATGTTTTTTATTTTCAAGCAATAAAGACAAAGTAATAAATTATTAAAATTAAATGTATATACCCAGAGTAATTATTTTTTTAATAACAAGTGCAATAGGGCCAACTTTCTAAGATAATTTTATTAATATATGAGTTTATTTTATTCATTATTTTATTTTATTATTTATTTAGGCACACAGCAAATGTGCCAAGGATTGTCAATTAGCAAATATCACTGTCCTATTTGTAGGGGACAATCCCTAACACAAGACAAACACATTTTTCCATGGACTAAAGCTTGGTAATTAATGTTAAAGTTACTGTACAGTCCAATAGTGTTTTTTTTTCTAATGATTAGTAAGATGTTGTACCCTCAACCACAAAATGAGTCATCCCATACATTTTGTAGAATCAAAATAAAAAAGCATTATATTGTTGGTAGAAATAAATTCAAAGGTGACTGAACTGTACTTTGTTGGTTTATCAAAAGATTTAACTGTAAGATTTTTTTAAGCTGTTTTTATTATTAATTATTTATTTAGGCCAAATAAAAAAAATATTGGTTTATCACCCTCATGAGCATGCCTTTTACTGTATATGGTACAGTACTGAAAATTAAATTGGGTTTTTTTTAATTACCTTTTTTGTATTTGATAGTTAGTAGATACTGTTTGTATTTCTCCATAATGTTTATACGTTGAATATCAATGCACCAGCAAACAACCCAAAGGTGATACTTGGCTTCAGTAAAAAAAAAACAAAAAAAAAAACCTCCCTCCCTCATCACTTTTCCAGCTTAGATAGGGTGATTAACTAATAATAATTTTTATAGGGTCTTCAATGGTCAATGTTTCATCTCACAGTCTTCTTCTTCTAGATGGTCATATCGCAATGGCCTACTATAAATCACAAAGACAATAATCACATATTTGGTCTCTGCTGGTTCAACAATCATCTCTAAAGAAGAACATTACGTTTAAAAGCTTTTATCAATCTAGTTTAAAGTACGCCACAATTTATGTGTTATGGTTTCACAATATATTTTTTAAAATCTAACTTTGTATATACTGTATTGTAAAATTTTCTTTGTTAAATTACTGTATTCTGGTTAAGTACTCTATTGTTAATATATTGTTCTTAAATTGTTCAATTTTGCTTAAATAACTACGTTCATTTCACATCAGTTCAAGTAGGGAACCCCTTGAAATAAGTCTTTTCGCAATTTTATGGTTATCCCCGATAGTGATTTGAGAACATCCTAAAACAATTTCTGGTGTCAGGAATTTATAATTATTTTTATGCCTAAAACAGAACAGTAACTTAATAAATATTATTAAAACATCAGAACAAAAATGAAGTACTGTTCTGTCCAACTACTACTAGCAAACAGGGCTAGGACTAGGCCTCCTCCTAGCTTGTTTAGTCTAGGCCTAGTGCGTTAAATTGTCAACATTCAACGTTACCAACACACGAAAAGATGCACCTACCTGCCCATGGTATCTGAACCCATACTTGAAGGCCAAACTGGTAGCAACTTGTTCGCCACCATAGACGTGAATCGCAAACTGATTGGAATAAATATCCCCGACTGCTTCGCTCAAAAACAATAAAACTAACGTTAATAGGACTTGGAGTAACAGCCCCTTGAACTTTAATATGAACTGCATCACACAGAAGTTATTGTGAACAATAAACATAAAATATGTAAGCGGTAGTAATCAAAAATTTGCTCCAATAATCCAACCGCAAGGCCTGCGATGTCCACTGTGACACAAAGATGGGTTCTTTTCTCTTCACACCTGTACTGTAGTAGTATTTAGGAGAATTCATTTAGGCCTAGGCCTAACAGCGACTGATGATCGTATTACCGTGCTCAAAAACCGGTACAAAACCACATCAGTTATCATGCAAAAGCTACCCAGTAGTCCATAAATAGATAGGTATAATTTACTGATATTGGTAGAATCATATGCAAGCCTTTGCCACCACCTGAATTTGATAACATTTAGAAACTTTCAAGACCTGCGACCTTCACAAACTCCACTCTAAAGTTACACGCAGTGTGACCACTCACAATTTTTTGATATACCCAAAGATACTAGAAATACAAGATAGAGTTCTCGCATTGTAAAAATGAGGCGGAAGTCGTGCCCAACGTAGGCGGCGCCCTTCTTTTTAACCATGCAAGTTTCCTATACTTCGTGCCCAACGTACAGGGCGCCCTTC